TTCGAGAACGTAGTGAGAACTAGTTTGGTGTGATAGTAGGGTTAGCAATTTCAGATTTTAAGGGAATGTTACCAGATGTAAAACTTATTGACGGCTTTCCTGATTTGATATTGAAATAAAGTGTTGTATGTTTGTACGAGTATATGTTTTAATGTTTTATATGTATATATTTACGTGAATTTACTTGTAAAAATAACAAATTGCTGCATACAGTTTGATATGTACAGTACTTATACGATATTAATGATATATTAGATCAGATACATTATACATTAGAGATACGTATATGTAGAACTAAAAATAAACACTATGATGTATAGGGTCTATAGATAAAATAAGTTTTCTGTTATGTAATAAAAATAAACCCCATGAGTACTCTCCTTCGATGTGTGACTAACAGGGAATTAAAATGACAATGTCACCACCTATGTTTTATGTGACCACCAAAAGTGGTGACATATTGTTATAGTCTTCAACTTTTTTGTAGACTGTGTGTGGTGGCCGGCGGCCGGCGTTCGGCGTCTGTAACAAATCTTACAATCTCCAAATCACTTACAAGTACTGTTTAGACTGACTTCACATTTCTCCTAGAAAATAATTTGAGATATGATTTTGTCTATCCCACATCATTTGAGACGGAATGGTCTATCTTGTATGAATTCTTCTTTTTACGTATGAATAAAATGTTCATTGGTGTTCTGGTCTTGGATTGTTGTATTGGCGTTTGGATGGTGGGGGAAAGGGGGTATTAGACATTGTTTCTTTCCACGTTAGATCATGCTTCCATGAACACTTTCCCATTCGCATGTATGTTTAGACATTTAAGAGTTCCAACACATGTCTGCCAATATCTGCTACCATGGCAAAAAATAAGTTGATTTGTAATATTTTGTAACCATTTGCAATAGTTTAAGAAGTAGTGTTCACATGGACTTATTGAAAGTTATATGAATTGATTGCCGACGCCGAACTCCGACCACCTGACACCGTCCACAAAAAAGTTGGAGGCTATAACAATATGGCACTACTTCTTGTGTAATATAACATAATAACAAATAGATGATAACATAAAGGAGATCAATTATACAAAGAATAAACAGTAGATGACCTGAGATAGAGCCCCGAGCAACACCACAATTTTCAATAATTAATTTGAACGAATTACCCTTTCACGGATATGAGATATGGAATGTTCAACAATAATGAAAACAAACTTAAAACATATTAACGCCACTTTAAATACAGTGCCCCATCAAAAAGAACCTTTACAAAATTGAAAACCGGAACATAAAAACTACACATTGGTTTATGCTATTGGTCTCAAAACTACACATTAGTTTATACACATAGGTTTTGAGTGTCAAACAATAAAATACCTTAATAAAAAAGATTAAAACAATGTTGTGTGCAAATAATGCAAATTAGGGCAGCCATTATCGAAATAGTAATAACCTTAAATATTTCGTAGACTTAGCATAGTAGCATCACAATATTGATGTCTAAACCTAGGCTTTGAGGGTCAAAGAACAAGATTCTTTGATAAAATAGATTAAAACAATATACTGACATGATTCATTGCGATTGTGCAAATTAGGGCAGCCATTATCAAAATATTTCGTAGACTTAGCATAGTAGCATCACCATATTGGTGTCTAAACCTAGGTTTTCAGGGTCAAAGAATAAGATTTTTTCATTTTCATTTAAGTTACATATCTCACACAGACACCATAGGGCATATACGTGTGGTAGGATAATGTAACTTGATATCCTAAGGTAGAAACAGCTCCCCGTATTAATCTGACCTGAGGCCCAGGAATACGTTAAAAATGTTTACAATGTTTGCTAGTGTACTGAGTTGTTAATGCGTGGTGTATACATGTATATAAAATATAAATCTTTTATATAGATAACTTACATGTATAAGAATAAGACTGATTTTTATAAGCTTAATGGATAAGAATAAGACTGATTTTTGTGGCTACTGTCGCCGCAAGCTGGGATTGAACCCAGGATCTTGGCATCAAAAGTCCAGAGTGCTAACCTTTACACCACAGAACCGAATAACTGGTACATATAAAAAAGATTGAACAATATTGATTGCGATTATGCAAATTAGGGCTGCCATTATCGAAATAGTGATTATCTTCGATTTTTCGCAGATTTTAGTATAGTAGAGTATAGTAGCATCGCAATGTCTAAACCTAGGTTTCCAGGGTCCAAAAATAAGATACGTTATTGAAAAGAATTAAAATATATTGATTGTGATTATGCAAATTAGGTTGGTCATTATCGAATAATTTTGATTGTCTTCAATATTTCAGAAAAAGCACACAAGAATCACGGTATTGGAGTCTTAACCCAGGTTTACAGGTCAACTAATAAGATGAAATGATAAAAAATTATAAAAACAACGATGATTGGGATTATCGAGTTATTGATTATCTTTAATATTTCAGAGACTAAGCAAAGTAGCATTACAATACTGGTTACTAAATTATGTTTTTCTGGGTGAAAGAATAAGATAAAATGATAAAAAATTCAAAACAATAATGATTGTGACTATTGATTATCTTCAATATTTCGGAGACTAAGCAAAGTAGCGTTACAATACTGGTGTCCAAAGCCAGGTTTTCAGGGTCAATAATAAGATGGAATTATAAAATAATAACAACACGTATTTCATTGTATGATCTGTAAAATGAAGCCCTCTGATTTGTCAGTTCTTGTGCTGTACCAATCTGTATTGCTACTGAGATTGTCCTAGGATCGCACGATAAAAATGTTATTGAATGATTTAAAGTGCATTACAGGATATTTTCTGTCTCGATATTCTGTATTGGCACTCGACTTTGTCACGTTCCAATACAGCATTTCTTGAGCAGAACATATCCTGTTTTGCACTTCAAATCATTCAATAGCTTATAGTTTCTTTTGAAATTAAATGATTATTGACACTGAAAACATGGACAAGGGCACAACAATTGTGATGCCATCATTCCTACCTTTTTCAGATATATGTAAGGAATTCAATATTTCTTTATTTTCTTCGTCTTAATTTAAATTGAGTACATTTAAAATGCACCGTACAATGGTTACAAACGTTAAAAAAACATTGGTGGCAGTTAGTAAACGATGCCCACCCTAAATTACATATATTATTTTTGGTAACCCAATTAAATCACAGTAAGGAAACCCTCAATTGGTCCGTACTTTTAATTGTACTGCAGGCCCGCTATTTCAATTAGAAAACAGCAACTAAAAAGAGTAGCAAATCCCACCGAACAAAAATGTTTTGATAAATAGCAGCCATCAGGTATCAGCATATACAATTTGAACTGAATTTGCCCGCTGTTATTTGAGTTATTAAAGATTATGTTCTTTTAAGAAAAATGATGGCCATTTTGAAATTCAGCTGCCATTGAAAATTTCTTTTAAAGCAGAGCTCCCTTTTCGCTAGGCATCGGCAAATAAAATTTGAACCACATCCGTCCACTGGTATTTGAGTTATCAAAGATTATGTTTTCTATGAAAAATGATTACATTTTAAAAAAAAATGGTGGCCATTTTGAATTGAGTGTTCATCTTGGGCAGAGATCTTACATCAATTAGACATAAGCCTATAAAATCTGAATCAAATCCATCAACCAGTATTCAAGTTATCGCCAGGACAGATGGACGGACGGCTTTTCTGTTTCTCCCTCGAACTTCGTGAGGGGGGATTATTATATGATATGCTAATTTGCATATTTGCACAATATTCTAATTATTCTAGTATCTTTTGACATAATCTTATTCAACGACCCTGAAAACATGGGTAAGGCACAACAATTTTGATGCTATCATTTATACTTTTTAAAATCAACATTTCAATAATGGCCTCCCTAATTAGCCTATATAATTGTTTCCCCAAACTAAATTTTTGTGCAACCCAGTTAAATCACTTCAGAAAACCGTAATTATCATAAATTGACCATAAAGCATCGTATTTTTAATAATTTCTTGGTTAACTATAGGATGTATGGGATCGACAAATGGACTATTACCGCATGAAGGCCACACTTTGCGATGGTGAACCATCGACAATTTCAAACGTTCACCATTTCATCATGATATCAGGGATATAAAGTCAGCACGTGTCTTTTTTTCGTTGCAAAACTGATTTCATTTTCAGAGCAGAAATTTTACGTCACGTGACATGACGTGTGTGGTTCAAACAATTTGCCGCGAAATACGATTTTGTAGACAAATATTATTCGCTCTTATGTTGAGCCAGTTATTGCATGATTGAGGCTATTCATATCAATTTCGCAAAGGGTATAATCACTAGCAATTGAGTGCGGAGACAATCGAGCTGAAACGCAATTGACAGCATGTAAGTTATATAACAGCAAATATTGCCAGTGTTTGGGGACTAAAACTTTTTAACCCGAATGTAATGTCGTAGGCCAAAATATAATTATTGGGTTAACATTTTCAGTTATCGATATTATATACGGTGTCACAAATGCATTTCTTCAAATTCCTTGTATATGTAATGAATAATATTTCAGTGGTCTTTCCACAAGAATTTCTTTTTGTGAAGTTCGATCAATCAAAATATTTATGTAGCTATTGGAATGTGTGTGAATGTGGAACTAATGTATATTTCTATTCTGGTTCAGCCTTCGTAGTAGTTTGCAACAACAACTTTTTGATTAACACCCCAGTCACATTTGTCGTACGGATGCCGTGCGTCGACCGCAGATCAATTAAATCAGTGTAATTCTGCGGCGAGCGTAAGAAAACTACGCTCGCCTTGCAGCCTCCGTACGGCGTATCCAGTTTTTTACAGGCCACAGGGTCGCCGTAGAAATTATAACCCGGAGTTATAATACTTGTTCATTTCTGAGGTCCCCGTAGAAATCAACTGGCTTAACAAGATTGAATCATTATTTGTCAATGTTTCACGATCACTTTCATTTGATATTACATCCTAGCACTATGAATAACATTTATAAATTGTCCTGATGTAAATATAATAAAAAACTCAAAGTAAAGGGCTATCAAAAAGCAAGTGAGGCCTGTATCGTTGATATATATATATTGATATGTTTTTCATAATGTCCAAATGCATGCAATGGTATTAAATTGTCAATCGATTTCAACTTCCCTTTTCCCGAACATCATTGGAGGCTATTCCTACATGATTGAAATTATCTAAACATGTAGGATTATATATCGCCATAGTGACATTTGTAACCGCACTTATTGTTGCATGTAATCATTTTCAACATTCTTATTGCTATTCATTACATATCTTATTATTAATATATGTCAAACTGAATTTGACATTTACGAAAACGAAAATCAAATACAAAACGATATCGGCTTGATGAAAGCATACAAGAACCTTTTACATTATATCACTTATAACACTATCTCGAGTCTCTTGGACATGAGTGACCCAGGGGTACAATGATAAGGGTCACTTTAACTCGATTTAATTGGGCTATACTAGTCAATATCCTAGCTATCTAGGTCACTATATACAAAAGAACATGCACAACGTTTGTCAGTCCAAATAGTCTACCACCATGAACTGAGGCGGAGTTGAGTGCTTGTACCGAAGGCTGGACAGCGGCATCGCTTGAGCAGATTTGTGGGGTCTGTGCATTGTTATATGAAGTCAAGAGTTTGGATATGCTTGAGCTACAGGACTGACGAAGGACACGCTCGATGCATTTGTTTGAATAGTCATGTGATCTGGAATAAGAAAGGAAATGTTATAAATATGATCGTGTTCATTAAATGTCATCGGTATCACCTTGTCTTTTTTTCAAAGGACGAGTGTCTTTAAGACCCTATATTAGCCCCCTAGATATTTAAAAGAAATTGTACAGGAAATTAAAGAAGGGACTTTGTTTGATAACCAGATCCAAAACTTAGGTCATTCTGACCTTTATGTATGAGAACTTGTATCTACAACTATTTTTAAGGTTATGAGTATTGCCTATTAATTTCTAATTTTTTCTTCAACATGTATTGTAATGACTTCAGTATGAATGAAATGTCCCTTGGTGTTCTAGTCCTGGATTGTGATATTGGTTCTCGATTGAAGGGGGAGGGGAATGTTAGACATTGTTTCTTTTCACGTTAGATCATGGTTTTGGGAAATATAGGGTCTACTTTTCTTATGACAGATTTACACTCACAGTTTGCTTTTCTTGTTGGGTTTCTTTAAAGTTTTAAGTCACCCTTCCCTTTTGGCATTTGCGCTTATATATTATATTTCAAAATATAGGTCATTCTTTTAAGGTGTCAACAAAATAAAATGACCTTTTGAAAGAAATATCACTCTTTTCACATCATGATTGTCACTGTTTATTATCAAATTAATCACTATTTATTATCAAAATAATCAATATTTACAGTCGTTTTAGACTTTTTTTAATTGATCTTCTTGGCGAATAGTGAAAAGGCATAATAGCCTAACATTCAAAAACACATAAAATATAACATGTAAAAATGCAAAAAATGTTGACTATTGATCATTTTTATACTTCAATGAGATGTGTCAGAAACATGTCAGAAAAGAATATTGAGTTTATTAATTTACTTCACAATGAGGAAGAACAAGGGGCAATATTAAAAACGCGGGAAGTAATTAACAAGTCAAAAATGCATATGTATCAATCGATTATATATTGATATGTTTTCTTGAGATCAAAACACATAAAATATAACAATTTCTTTAAGGTTACATTGGACTTAACATAACTGTTGTACCTCAATCTTTAAACGTGTAGATGAGCACATTCATGTGTTTGTTCATTATAAGAGACTCTATGAGCCAGGCATATCGTTTGAATTTAAAATGTCAAACTTTGTGCATTTCGTTTTGCTTTTATACCGTGTGCACATGAACCTATAGCCCTACTCCCAACTTGACGTGAACAACACCATCCAGTAATTATATATATGATATATCATATATATATTTCCCGTCTTCTTGAAGGTGATTGTCTGTGTATTGTTTAGATTGGTTGACTTGATATACCAAAGTGAGTTGACGTACATCGTCTTCAGTCAAAATGTCCTCAAGAGAGTCCACTACGATTTAGATTACAGTTCCCTTTGCTTTGGGCAATTTATTAGCAAAGGACGGGTGTCATTAAGGGCCCTTTTTAGCCCCCAAAGATATCTGATAATAATGCATATCATATTGAAGAAAAATCATTTGTGCTTTATAAAAATACAATTTCAGCGAATTTTGACCTTTGATGTTCACACAACAGTCATTTAAAGATCATATACCATTTTTGGTGTTTTTACAAAAAATTCTTTATTTATTGTTGTCTAAGTAAATAGTATATAAATATTAACCAATTTAAATATATTAAAATGTAATATATGAAATACTGAAGAAAAGATACAATTAAAATTATTTTCATGGAAAAGCACATAGGGCAATATTGACAAAATGCAAATACTATTTTGGTAGGTTCTGGGCTAGCAATGGGTACATTTCAACTGTGACTGTAATGGATTACTATTGACTTTTATCAAAATCTCAGGGCAACATTTAAGCAACTAAATACAAGGAAAATCAAAGATTTCCTCTCATTTCTAAAACGAGGAACAAAAGCATGAATTCAAGTAAAATAAATGATGGCCTGTGCCAAAATATATAACATATGAGAAAGTTGTGGCACAGGATATGTATAGGATATCATATGATTTTAAATGATTTTATCTCCGAGTTGATATCAATATCTTGCCAAGTTAGCATAGCAAATTAGCGCAGATATTGATATCAATGAGTTGGATTAACACAATATCACGAAAATTCATAGGATGTTCTATTTTTCCCATAGTTCACCTCTAAAACTAAACGAAGCATATCAAAACAACATCCATTCATTCATTCATCGTGATGTCATGAAATCACTATGTAACAAAACACATCATATTGGTGGTAGTTTTCAAATCCCTGCCAAAAGGTGATATCTGTGAAATATTTTCCGTATTCCACAGATATCACTTTTCCACGCATTTGCAAAATACCATAAATATGTTTTCATGTTACCTAACAGAGCGGAACAGAGTTCAACTATGGGATAAAGAATAAAAAATAGGTACATAATTGAATTACCACTCCAAAAATATTAAAAATGAGAGTTTAAAGAAAGAATATTGAATATGAGATTCAAAAAGACAAGTGGCCTCATGTCTCACATTTCCCAAACCCCAGATCGATCATCGATGTCATATATACTTGTATACTGTATATCTATGTTATTTTCTGGGAGGATTAATATGGAGTGTATAGCAATGGTCAATACGATATTTCCAGATGGATATTTTTTCCCTAGAAGCGGAACCCAAACTCAGTCATGACATAAAAGCTAACTTTTGCAATTAATAGAAACTTATTTTTTTATTATATTTTTGTGTTCTATATTTGAGATGAAATAATATGAGATTCATTTCTACAAGAGGATGGAACGAATGTGAACTTGTATATTGAACTATACTCCTTTTCTGAATAAACAGAACAACATTTTATCCAAGCCAATTAAGAAAACCAAGGCCAATGATTGTAATTTATGCCCAGTTAACACAATAACAACTTTTTGTCTGGACTCACTTATTATGTAAGAATGAATTGTATTACTGTTTACTGCATTAAATGTCAAATATACTATCTGTATTTAATTTCAAATGCCTATCTCACTTATCAAAGGTATACAAGAAATGTTATTTTGAAACAAATTCAGCACAACCAAAACCATGTCCACATAATATGACAAATCCAAGATGGCTGCCACAATTTTAGATCCATGCAGATGTGAAGAAGTTAGAAATACACATGGTCCACAAGTTCCATCCCCAATAAAATGGGAAGTTTAAGGTTTTCACACATATCAACTCTATTCCTATATACTTTATATTTGTGGTAAGGCTTGTGATCTAGGTAAACTTGGCATGTTCATGTACCTCCTATCCTCTGAAGCTAAAAACAGAAATAGTGACTTCAATTGAGAAAAATGAATCTTATGGGCTCCATATACATTTTGAGTGGCTGTCCGGCTAAAGTTAGATACTACTGATAATCTGAGATGAAAATTATGTCAAGTTTAGTCCTCGGCCTCTCATAACGGATAACTTCGAGGTAATTGTGTTGTTACTGCAAAAACCTCTATTTCTTCATCACAAATCTACCATCTTTTGCATCTGTCAAAACCCTTCATTTCATGTTAATTTTCAGACTTTTGCTTGTGCCATCATTAAATATATATATTCAACTTGTTATTCAGAATATTTGAATTTTTTTGAATTTTTTTATTTTCACACTTTTGAAAAAATGACTAAGTCAGAGAATGGCCTCTTAATGGCATGTCCCCTTTCATTTTCCCACCTACTGATTGTGACTTATATTTCTTCTGCACAATAAAGTTGAGCTGGAATTTTGAAATATGAACATTCGTAGGATCAGCCAATGAACTGTAGTAATATAAATATATAAGCGCAAATTAATGCCAAAGGGAAGGGTGACTAAAAACTTTAAAGAAACCCAACAAGAAAAGCAAACTGTAATAGTGTAAATCTGTCATAAGAAAAGTAAAAAAAGACACTTGTTGAGGATTAAGTGATTGTACAACAATCATCTCAATTTTGCATGTACATTTATATGAATGTATAGAAAGAAATATTAATTACATGTTATTAAGTTGTTTAGAGCCATGGTAAAAATATATGCTTCTCTAAAGGTCATGCTTCAGTGCAAGCATACATATTAGTTCATGAAATGATAATATGAAATAAGAAAATATACTTGAATATATAAACACACAATTTTCACAATCATTCTAAGGATTTTCAAATTGGCTGACATAATTTTATCTCATACTTAAAATTGCATAAACATTCCATTTTTGCACAACGCCTGGTCCTTACCTAGATTTTTACATATCTCAAGAAGTACCTTAGAACTACACTACTCCCTTACTACGTATAACTTTCTAGATAAGAACCAGGTGTTATATGAACAAATCACGAGTTTGTCATGATCTTCCTCTCTCTAAAAATAAGTAGGTCAACACAATTGCAAACATAACTAATCCCCACTCAATGACTATTGAAATATGACTATTTATTTGTATGAAATATCAATCCAATGAGTGTACAGAGTGATACAATTAAACAATTGGACATCTGCCAAGTTTGGTTTACATTCTGGAGATATTTTCTGAAATTGATAAAAATGTCTATTTTAACAGGAAGTGATACATACATACATATAGTACCTCCAAAATCGATCTAAGTATACATATATCAGGAATATTGAATGCCTTTTATTGCTATTTCTTAAAAATATACATATTTATCTACAATTTGATCTAAGATATCAAGCATATTAACGACAATTCATTTTTCAAAAATGTTAAGTGACCCAAGGGCTGTCTATACACTGTGCAAAAAAGGCTATATAGTAATAGAATATCCTGTTAACTATGCTCTAATATCAACTGTCATAGTGTGAAATATCTCCCGTATCTCCCGTGTTGTATAGACACATGCTATATCCAGATATTTGGCGGACAACTAGTATAGTTAGTACTATTTGCCACTCTACTAAATATGAACTAATATAAGCTGTGTTATATATCAAGGCTAACATATAGTTTGTCTACCACTCTATCATATCTACAGAAAGGATATACTAGCCGATTCTATGAACAACAGCTTCTTCTAGCATATAT